AAATATTGTTTATTTACACAGTGATTCCTGCAGCAGGTTCTAGAAGGCTGTAGCTTCCATAATTTCTCAACTATTTATATTTATTCCCCTCATATATTGAGTTTAGAAGGCTCCTGGTCTCCCCTTTGTAACGCAGTGTCTTGGTAAAAAGCTAGCAGGCTTTGAACTCAATCATCCTAGTGTTCTTGAAAACACATCTTCAGTACCAATTACTTCCATATATCCCAGGCTTGGAGGCCCCATAAGTATTTGTTAAGGGCAGAGATTAAAATTTAGGTCTTCATTAAAACACAGAAGTTTAAATTTAATAGCAATTTAATGACTGTGGACTTGGAATAACCCTATTTTCTCCATCCTCCCACATCCACTATTTCTCTGGGTTCTTGTTCTGTAACTGGGATCCCCAAGCAGAATCCTACACAGTAACCCCTGCTTGTTCTCCATAACGTGCTTTTCTACATATGGAAAACAGACAACGCCATGCAATACTGTCCTTGCCTTGATCAGGTCCAGATAGGTGGTAAAAATCTATGTCCTTGGAGGCTTTCACCACTCAGCTACACAAAACCAAGGCTGACCTGATCTGACATCGGTGGCAATCCAAGCAGGAAGTTGTGTGATACGAGAGCGATTGGAAGAAACCTCTATGACAGCGCACCTCAGTAATATTCAGATCATGCACAGTAACTAATCAGCCAGAAAAGTTACCTGTACTAATTAAAGTGATTGCATCTTTTACAAAGTTCTCTTTGTAATTAATTACATAAAGTGCAGGAAATTCAGAAGAATACTTAAGCATAAGGCAAAAGCTATAACACTACAGCAGTATCCATGGTTAGGTGGCTTTATCTTCCAGACAATTGAATAACTACAAACTCTAGAATAAACTTCCCGTTTTAAAGCAAATATTTTCTGTCAATAGAACTTCGCTGTAACTGTAGGTGTTACTCAAAGAGAGGCCTGACTTTTAAGTAACAGAAACTGAAAGTGCTGGGACTACAACAACCAATATCAAAATACCATTTAACTGACTAGTTGAATGACACCTTCACCAGAAAACTTGTCACATCCTACAGTCTCCTGAAATCACACTAGGGCTTCAGAGAGGATAAGTGACTAATGAAGTGAATGCCATTTATTCTAACCACTTCAGATATTGCTGTATTAAAGCAGGGCTAGAAATAGCAGAATGATGTTAACACTAACTACAGTCTTGCAAGTCCTCTTCTCCTAACGCACATTAGGCTACCTTTCCCAGTTGTTCAGGTGGCAAAGTAGTGCCGGGAGAGCTGTTTAGGCTGTACAGCACTCAATCAGCTAGAGAACTAGCCCAGCTGATTAATAAGCTAGCATTCACCTAATTCACCCTACAGTCACATAAAAGCTTGTGAGAAGGGGTAGGAAAAAAAGTCTTTTCTGACAGCAACACTAAGTTAAAGCATTTGTTGAAACATATCAGATTTTCTACAGCCCCAGGAAGTGGATGGCACACTGCACATGCATCAATTCACTTACCTCTGGTGTGAGGACCACCGGCTAAAGCGCGACTACTACTAGCTTGAGGCAATGCTTCAGATATCAATAATGATCTCATCAGAAATATTGCCTAATTGAAGGAATGCATTTTTCTCATGTAAACTTCAACGATTTTGTTCTGACACTAGCCAGTGCAACAACGGAACTCTGAAGCCTTGCTTTATTAGAGCTAGTTTTCCCATTTATAATGAACAGCTTTTCCAGAGTCAGCCTTACATCAAACTCAATGCATCAAGACATTAACAGTGCTTTCATTTCCATTTTAAGTTTGACCAGCAAGTTTCCACACAGTATTTAGTACTAGAACTGTAATAAGTACGTTACTGAGTTCACCCATAGAAGCATCATCACAACAGATTCACTTTTTTCTTCCGTGTCTTTCCAAGGTTAAGAGTAACATTACATTCATATCAGCTCCGATTTGAAGACTGGGGAGGTGGACTGTTGTAAACACAGATGTCTTTACTCTAAGGGATGTTGCACTCTCCATAAGTCTAGAGGAAAGAGAATCCCAGCATTTTACAGTTCAACGAGTACTGAGATAACCTACCACTTACAGTAACAAGCATGCAACTGAAGCAGCCTGAGGTGTTCCGTTTGTAGCAGCTTTACCTCTAGAAGATAAAACATCTAACAGCAGCAGCACCTCCTGACAAGCTCTAATTTTTACTTACTTTCCAGTTTTCAAAGTCCGAGTTCACCAACTTACCCTTGCCTCTCCATCTGCTGTAACAAGCTACGGAACTATAGACTATGTTTGTATGCGAGCTGGTAGTTATCAAGTACCAGATACACATACCCTGATCTGCATGCCTGAACTTTGAGGAAGTGGCAGCAAAAAGCAACTAAGCTTTTGAGAAAATTATATATAGCAAGAGAGTGTCAGTAATAATTAGCAGGGCTCATATCAAACTAGAAATCAGTTCTCTTGTCAGATACACTGTTGAATAAAGCTGTTTATGCTGTGTCTTCCACTTTAAATTAGAAAATTAGTCACTCAGAAAGATATTTCCAAGTATTATTTTATTCAAAATGCTACTGAAGAGTGAAATCCTGTTCCAATCTTCAAACAGAAGTCTTTAATATAAGCTTTAAGACGACTTTGACAATAGAGAAAAGTAGCAGTGCACAGAAAGCAAAGTTGTGAAACAAGAGTCCTCGCTTGTAAAGAGCATATACAATAAACTGTTGCCTCAACACAAGATAAGCAATTTAGAGTATCTGTACAGTTGTTCAGACCAAAATGCACATCTCTAGAAAAGTCCGAGCCTCACCACCATTAGATATATAAGAAATGATGACGAAAAAGGGAGAGATGAGGTAAACGAGATGTTCCGCCACATTCTTCCCCTTGATCTTTTTCTCATTTTGAAGCCACAAGGAAAGCTGAGCACTAGGGAATGCGAGGGAGAACTGCTTTTTCAGGAGCGCTATCGGTTTCCATACAAGTAACCACAGCCTCTGAAGAAAGGGCTACTGTACCTTACCACATCCAAGTTAGAGAGGTCATAACAAAGGGCAACTGAACTTAGTTCTTTTAAAAGCTTTAAGTGCTCTTTCTGCCAGTTGAATGCATTGAATAGTTGAATAATTTAGACCTGGAACTAGCTTGGAAGAAGTTAACTGCCTGGCTGATCAAAGTAGGTAAGAAATTATTTGGCAGCAATTAGGAAAATAAGACCTTAAGAATATTATCACAACTGAAAACATAATTCCAGACCATGCTTACCTTCAGAATAGCAGCTACTCTTGAAAACACAAAGTGAACATTACATACTGCATATGATTTATTTTATTCCCAGTGCTTATCTTCTGGAAAGATGTAGATTCACACCGAAATTTGTATAAGACTGCTCAGACAGCTGCACTCTGGAGATAACTTTTCAATACATTGAAACAAGCATTTTAGTTATTTTGGGGCAATTCAAGAAATGTAGTAAATGACACTACTCAAGAAATTATGTAGTACTAAAATACAAAACCAGAATTCAAGGCAAGACTTCACAGTCTTTACAGCCTACGAATTAGTCTGAGTTCTGGCAGTTTGATATTGGGTATAAAACAATAGAACAAAGTAGAACGTCTTGCTTCTGTTTCTTTCTAATGTGCATTTTCATCTAGTGTCCAAGTGATTCAGTACTTTTCCTCAGATACAACTGATGTGCTTACACCATATTCTACCCATGACTTTTCTGGCCCGTTTACTTACATGTTTTCATTTAGCAACATATTGAAAGAGGTTTATCCAACTTTTTCTACTTCGTCCTAGATGGATTTTCTTAGGACTACCTAGCACCCAATGACAAGACATTTAATATAAACACTGCCTCAGACACAAAATAGGTTAGCTACAGAAGTAGATCAGGAGAACTGCCAGCCTACAGATGATGCCTGGATACACACAATGCTTTGCTGTAAACTTCATTGAGCTATTTGGCATTAACAAGAAAGCATAGGCGTTTTACACCATGAGACACTACTCTGCAATAGAGAAGGTAGCTCCAGAACCTCTATTTCATCTCAGAGTAGCGACGCTAGAAAATGTACCAAAGAGAAGAAAATAATCTTCACATGTTTGAGCTGTGGCTTCCTGTGGCAGCAAGAGCTGAGACATGAATGAGAATCAAGGGACTGGGCTTTTAGCTTTTACTCTGAAGATGACCAAGAACTCCTAGAGGTCTCCACAAAAAAAAAAAAAAACCACCAATAACAAGCACCTTGCTAAAGACTATTTGAACGTTCTGCTTCAAGGCTTAAATCAAGTTTAGCCATTGGAAACAGCAATGGAACCTAATTTGTTAGAAGAAGTTACCCCTTATTTAACAACCAGGGGTTTACTTTCTTCTGAATCATATGCTATCAGCTATTATCAGAAAGAGGACATGAGACCAGACAAGTTTTAGATCAGTTCCTCTGTAGTAGTTTCTACATCCTTGAGTTAATAACTACCAGAAAGTATTTACATGGCAGGGGCAGAGACTGCCATCTGTGTAGCTTTTAGCTTTTCCCCACCATCCAATTAAGTATTTTCACTTGTTTGTCAAGTCACATTACAAGTTTTACGTCCATCCCAAGAGAATACAGTATTAAACCCATTCCAACAAATAGCTTTAGAAAGCAAGTCTGTCCCCAAAAAGCTCAGGAACTGTTCAAAACCTGCTTTATAATGCACTTAGTCTTTGCCTCACTGTCTAGATACTGTTAGTACTGCTTCTGCTCCCCAGGCGGGCTGGTCAATATAGCGCAATGGTTGTAACAAACACCGCTTAAAATTGCGTCAACTAACATGACAGAAGACAAACGACGCAGGTAGACTTTTAAGCTTTGGTATGAAAATTGACTGTCCCTCAATAGTTTTATTAACTATTGAAAAATACTTCCCAGTGAGAGCTACTTTCATGCTGAAGCTTCAGGTTTGCCTTCCCAACAAGCATCAGCACTTGTTCCAGAACAACTCCAGCAAGATGCGCCCCCCCATGCGAAACCGTCTTTTCCGCAGGAGAGACAGGGGCTCCGCCAGGAAAGCCGGCAAGAGGCCGCTGGCGCGCTGCGCGCAGCCCTCCGCGCAGGGTTGTAACGGGGGCAAC